TGGTTGAAGACAAATGTTCTCCCTGAGATAACTTCATCATCCACCTCCCTGTGACTTCATCATGTCTGCTGTGGTCCAGATGTGTCCCTGCTCCTGCATCTGGATGGAGACCTGGGGACAGTATGAATCTTCCACCTGCCTTCCCTCACGGAGTCACCAAGTCCAGCTTGGTCTCCATCGGGCCTTTTCTGTAGCCCTCCATCAACCCTTCAATATCAAGCCCCTTGCCCACATGGTGGTTGTTAGCATTAGTAATAGAATACATATTTGGATTGTTTCTCAGATGACCCCTCCCTGTACCCTTCTGGAGCCTGTGCTATGTGCGTGCTTCTCATCGATGTCTCCCTCGTGCTCCAAAGAGTGGAAAATGGAAAGTTCTGGTACTATTCTGACATGCTAGGTATCCTGACAGTAGTCCATGCATGTTGGGAACCCTCTTGATGCCTGGTTTCTCCAGGTATGCCTGCAATCCTAAGAACTGGAAGGATCAAGCTTAAGGCTAAAGACAAAAGCTGCAGCAGCTGTTAGACAGTGGCTATTATCTTTGTTTATTATATGCAAATATTTATTGAGTGACTTGAATAAAGCAGACAGACCAGGAAAAGGAAGATGGACATACCTACATCGTGTCCAGGTTGGGGAGCTGGCATGTGGATCCATGCCATTTGGCATCAGAGCCTGGAACTTTGACCCTGAGCCTCATGACTTCACTTTGGCTCCTCAGACTTTTTTGAGTGTTTATGAGTTAAGAGGGACAGGCAGGCTGAAATGAATCTGAAATATTCACCTTGTAAGTGGATCTTTAAAAAGGTTTGATTAATGTTCTATTTTATTAAGAAATGGTCATTATTTAGTAAAATATGATTATAATGAACCAGATTGTCAAGTCATATCACGTTCTAACCTTATTCTGACTTCCAAGTATCATTTTCTGTAAAAATGAGCCTGATTGACAAGGTTGCCTGATAATATTTATAGAAGTCTGTGGTCGACCGTAGGGTAGAAGACATTTGATACTCATATGACTCGAACTGGAACAGAATGTCCCATAAAAGCAATGACCCTAATGGTGGTCCAGCTTATTAACCACAGTAAATGGGAACTTTATTCAGCTATACGCAGCTATATAATCGAGGTCCAAAGAGAAAAATGAACCAATGAAAAATTCAGGCCTGAAAAAAATTACAGTTGAGGTGGGATCATAGAGTGCATTCAAAATATGTATTCATAAAGTGTGCTCATTGAATTGAACCAATAGTCACCCTCTACATGGGGCTTTACCAAATACGATTCAGGAATCACCTGCATTGAAATTGTCATGCCTGTAGTGCACACCCCCTGGCCATGAGTCCCCGGCTTCACAGCCCCCCAAGATTCTGACCTAAGAGTTGGAACATGGGTGTTAATCAGTACTAAATCAAAGCGAGCCCATCTCCATTAGCTATTTCTAATCTGCTGTCCATGCTGAGAATCATTCTATTGTGCACACTGATTTGGGCCAGCAGGGTTTCCTCTCTGCAAGTCCTTGTCTTTGCATCTCCACCATTTCTGAAGTGCAACACTGCCTTTCTCCCTGGGATGTGGCCCCCTCCCTCTGCCCGGCCTGGACCTCCTCCAGTCTTCACCGGCTCGGGGAACCGCACTGCTGACATTAGTGTTACTTGCCCCAACTCTGAAAATTCCTGTGCTTTCTCCCTTTATTTTCCAGTATCACAAACCATGAATCATGAAAGTGTTTCCTTTTTCTCTTCTGCATATTTCAATAACTGGTCCACTTTTAACTATGTAGCTTTGTTGTCAATCATCAAAATGTTTTATCTTGGCAGTGGTCTCTTCGCTGTAGGAGCCCTTCCACTAAGAACCCACACTTCCCCTGGGGTACTTTGCTGAAGTGCAAATACGAGCATACTCTTCTCTGCGTACGCATCGTTTCCTGAACATTCCGTGTCACCCAGAGAGGAGCCCAGGCCCCAGTCCTTTGTCTCTCCAGCCTCCTCTTCCACCTGGGCGTCCTTTCCCCAGCTTGGATTCACCTCTGAGCTTCCACGGTGCCCCCTACTTGTAACACTACTTCCTGCAGGAGAAAGTCCTGGGACCTCGTTTCCGAGAGTAAATTTTATTAAATTCTCAATATTCCAGCCAGTAGTGTACTTCGGAAAGGGACTACTTTCGCCTTGTCGGAGTCTACTTCTAGCACTTCAGTGGAATGAAGAATGCATGGATGTTTTCAACGACAGATTAATGATGCAGGTGGTTAGAATCTTTACAATGCCAGCAAAATGTGATGGTGACAACCGGAAGGTGGCTGTGAGGATAACCATCCCCAACACAAAGTAGGACCCTGCCTATACTAGGCTCTTTAAGTTAATCACAGCACTCGATCATCCTCACGGCAACTCCAGGGTGGCGCCTGTTATTGTTTCTACTTCAAGTCTCAGAAATGAGACAGGGACACAGTGTGCAACTTGCCCATGGTTCCTGACTCCTGAGTGGTGGAGTGAGCACTCGCCTCAGCAGCTTGCAGTTACCATGTGGCTACGCTGCCTTCACAAGGCAGACTCTGGCAGCTGTCCGTGGGTTTATGAATTTCACAGATCATTAGGACTAAAATTTAAAAGTCGGAGGGGACAGAGATAAAGGGAACTTAATAAGTTTTCTAAAAACTTCACCTTGCACTTTAAAATTGTTATCAAGTACTCCATCCTTTGCAAAGGAAGGTTGTGTTTTCTTCAACATTTAGGAAAGGAGACTATCTGGAAAAGTCCTCCCAAGAACAAGAGTTTGGCAAGATTACTCCACGTCTGCTCCGACCTACACACTGTCTGCCAAGGTGTTGCCCAGCCAGTGTCTGGAGCCAGCATCATAAGGGGAGTTGCTCAGCCAGCCAACGCAGGTCCTCGCTGCTGGTCTGGGTCAGACCAAGCCCTCACGGCTTCTTCATGTGCGAAGTGTGCACTTTTAATTGCGTGGACCGTGTGCCTTACAATCGGTTGGCTTTTCTCCAAGTTTCTTTTTTCTTTTTTTGGTACCGGGGATCGAACTCAGGACCTTGTGCTTGAGAGGCAGGCACCATAACCACTGAGCTAAATCCCACGGCCCTCCAAGTTTTGTTATTAGTATGTTTACAATACATAATGATTAAATTCACCTTGAAGAACCAGTAAGTATAAATATCACATCTGAATCACTTCTACTTCCCTTTCTCCTCCACACGCCCACCCCCCTCCTCTCAGACCCTTTTTGCTATTCTTTTTCTTATAGTGAGCATCTTTTTCTTCACAGAAACTTCATCCTATGGTATAAGAACTATTTAAATCATCTGTCCTTGCCATAAAAAGTTCATAATGAACTTAATTTTTAGATACCTTTTTAGAGAAAATAAAAATGTGTCTTACGATTATAATAAAACATTTAAGAAAAAATCTGCACACCTAACGAAACTCAAAATATGAAAATGATTTGTATACATTTATATATAATTTAACGCATTATCATTCATAGCCAGATGTTTGAGCCCATGGTTCTACTCTAAAACACTAGTGGAAGAGGTACAAAAGCTTCCTATCATGATAAATGCATGGTAGAAGTGCTTTTACAGTTGTGTCACCTGTACCGGGGGTAAGCACTGCAGGATTCTGCTGAGCTCTTGCCTTGGAACAGCTATGGACCTGCTTTAACACAGCGTCCCCGTGGATGCTGGCAAGTTAGACTGCTTTTCTAACTGTGGCAGTAATAATAAATTTCCTTCTATAATATTTTTAAAGAGTTCATTTAAAATAATAATAAACAAAAGCCATTTTTGAATTGTATACAAATTCATAAAACAATTTTTTTGTGCAGGAAACCTGGAGTAACCCTGAGATACATAATATTCGGAACTGAAGACTTTTCATTTATTAGGACCTCTTACCAATACTTTAACATTCTCGAAGTCATGTGAAACTAGGTTTCTTAGATAGTGTGCCTCGCGGATCTGCAATTCTACAGCCTCACTGAGAAAAAGGCAGAGAGGGTGTCTGGGTGTACACGGGAATGTTCTAATTCTAGGTTTACAAACCCAGGGACCTGCAGGGCCAGTGGGCAATGACAGGTGGAGATATTCTGAGTGGTCTGCGGCGGATGGGACAAAGGGGCAGGGAAATGGCCCTGTGGCCTGATAAAGGACCACAGGTCAGGAGAGGTTGCAAAGGCAGAGCTGGGAAGGGTAACAAGACTGAAGGGGAAATGCAGAGTGGAGACAAACTGGATCCGATTAAGCAGATGTTCAGAAAATAAATGTTATCTACCTTATACTAATAAACAGGGTTTTTTCTGTTAAAAATGTCTTGATCAGGCATGGGTGTCAGATTTTCTAGTACTCACCATCCTGGGTATCCACACAGCACATTCCACCCACACATAGACGTTTTGCTCTGCTTGATGGGATTCTGCAGGAAAATAGGCTTACAATATGGCAGGCTGCACTCAATACTGGGCTTGGGACCTTATTGTTTCTTAGGCGAGCACAGGGAGCCAGCTGGAAAGCTGGTATATACCTCGAAGAGAACCTCGCTCTGCCTCTCAGAGCTCCTTTACACACTTCTTCACTGTCTCAGCTGTTGTTTGCTATGAAATTCTTAGGAGCAATATTTAAATGTTAGGTGTACACATGATGAACACTTTTCATATACTCTTTCACTTGTTTCTTTCAAACTATTTTCCCAAGGAATTTAAAGGAAAACGGGAACTGTTTTTGCCTAAGAAGACTTTTCATGTTAGAAGTTCCAAGTCAGATTTAACAAGTTCCTAAATACCTTCATGGGCAAGGCATGGTTACATACAGAAGTTGCAAATGGCTTTGTTTGTGAGTTGAGTTTTGTAACTGTATAAACACCAAGTTGATTTCCACAATTCAGAACTATCTCCACTGGAAAGCTTGCTTTCTTACAATGGATTTATGACTGAGTCCTCTATCTCTTTCAACTGGATCTTAATATAAGCAAATAATTCAAATGATATGGTGACTGTAAATGATAAACTTTTATTCTGAATATACTGTTTTTGCACAAGATTTAACACAACATTTTCTGGGATTATAAATATTTTTATAACAGTATTATACAAATTTTTACAAAATGTTTTTAACAGGCTAGTTAACTTCCACAAAAATGTCAAGAGAACATAATGGGGGGGGTCTATTTTTCACAAAAGCCACTTGGCCTTTTTCAGGGATGCACATTGAGCATTTCATTGAAAGAATCCCTAAAAGCATGATCCAACAATCACACAACACAACAGAAAGGACAGCTTCTCCAAGCTTCTCAACTGGCATCTATCCAAGACAGTGGCCCATTACTCAGCAGAATTTCTCTGAGATAATTGCTTTGATGTGAACTAGAAATAAGGTAGGTGAAGCAATTGGTAAGGGCTTGTCTAAATCTTCCAAATTCTGTAAATTGTCAACACTCGATACTTTTGTTTGGTGATATGCTCTTTACAGAAATGTATATTGAATATGAACAATATTAACATTCTGCTATGAGAAACAATACAAGGTCCAGATAATAATGAAATATTGAAATTTGGGGCAAGTGAAAAAGTCACAAAATCCATTTTCTCTCGCCAGGTTAGACTCTACATCTTTCGACATTTTAATGTCAACTAACATGATTGATGGAATTGCTTGAGAGTTTTAAATTAAGACATAGAATTTAAACTTTGATGAAGACAAGACAAAGATTTAAAGGAGATGTAAAGTTACGAGAGAGAGCATCAAATAAGCAAGTAACACTTGGATTGCAAAGGTCACTTAAAAGGGGTACTGCCTATTTGAACCCCGTAAGGCCAGTTTTAAAGTTAATAAAAGGAATATTGTATAGGAAACTTACAAATGGCAGCAACACTGTTTTGCTCTGTTTGTTGTCCAAGTTAATCAATAACTCCTCAAGCATTAGAAACATGAAAAAAGATTGTACTAAAATCGTATAAGCCCAGGACCTAAAAATCTCTTCAATCAAACTTGCTAACTATGTCATGTTAAAAACCTTTTACAAAGTGGACCACGATTGGCGTCTGGCAGTAATGCTGGTTGTTCACGTGAGGAGAAGAGAAAGAAATGATGAATGCAAACCTCCATCCTGTGGCTGAGGACAAAGCCAAGACTCATTGTGACGCAGCTGCAGTGACACACTACGTTCAGCTGCGTGAGCACAGCACAAACTAAATATGTAATAAAAGGTTCAAAAGCCTTTTCATGGATCTATTATACTGCTCAGTCTTTGAAAATCAATTTTGGGGGTGGGTGGGTACCGGGGATCGAACTCGGGTCCTTGCGCTTGCGCAGCAGGCAGCAAAACCACTGAGCTAAAGCCCCGGCCCTGAAAATCAATATTAATATCAGACTTTGAGATTTCTATCAACAGAATTCATAGAAAAACAGTACATTTAATGTAGCAACTTGGTGGAATGAGTGCTATTGTCTTTTGAAAAAGAGTACGCCAAACCCAGGATGACTAGTATTGATTCTGGAAACAATTTTTAGTCCAAGAGCAAGTTCTTACCCAATTTTCTACCCTGTAAGTGGCTGTTATGATACAGAACTGTAATCAAACGGAGCCCTGCCGAGGTACGCTGAGGTTAAATGCGATTAACACAACAATAATGCAGCTGATGAAAACATACTATATAAGTGACATGGGCCAGGAAAATATATTTAATGGACTTTAAACGCAATCTTAAGGTAGTTTGTTGTATGCTGGAAGCAACTGTTTGTTTTAATGTGCGTCACTTATTTACATAAACTAACAATTTATATTTTTGATATCCCCTTCCCAACACTTTCATGATTTAAAATTCTGCAAAAGTTAACAGTAAGATTTAAATATCTAATTAACAAACAACGTGATTTAAACATATTATAACTTGTTTTTAAATCACTTTGGTGTTTTCTAAAACATCAATACAAGTTATGAGTAGACTAGAAAATTACAATGCATTAGAAATGGTAACTGATGTCAACTCTTAGAACAATAGTTGGCAAAGTGATTCCACTTCTCCCTTCCCCCATTTTAAATTAAAAAAATCTTATTAAGGAAGTGTTCACACATGGTACTTGGGATACAGTGGTGGTACGAGGGGATTATAAACATATGCAAAACTAAAAACAAAAAAAAAATGTATCTTCAACATTGCTAAAGAATTGGCTATGATTTTGATATGTAGAAGATATGAAAGCATGCTGGGTAATGTAAATAACTTTGATGTTAAAATTATATATAAGAAATTTCCCAGCATATGCACACACCAAAATTTGGCATGTTTGAATAAAGAAAAATGCATTTTATCATAAATATATCTGCATACTTTCAGCCTTCGGTAAAATTATGCACTTTTCCTAGAGTTACCCATTCATTGTTTTCGCCCTTTCTTCAAACACTGTTTTTTCCTGGAAATAATGTTTAAAAGCATAAATAATATTTTGATACCATATTAATCTATAATGAAATATCTGATTTACTACACTAACCATTTTCACTAATGAGGCTGTATAAAAACAAATGTCATTATTCACAATCAAGTGTTCATGTGCATTTGTAGAGATTCAAGGTTTCCTATTTGTTCAGATTGTTACAAAACCCTCATCAAATGTCATGGGATTTTGGCCAAATGATCACAGCATCGAAAATGGAGGAAAAAAGTAGAGCCGGGATCGTCCACCCTCCTGTGAAATGAACAAACAGGGAACCTAGGGTGTAGCTTCACTGAGAACATATATGTACTTTTCAAAAAATAAATGTGTTAAATCTGATTTATGTACTTAAAATATCTGTACATGGGTTTTCAGGCAGAAGCACGAATCTGTATAAAATCCATTAATTCTCATTTTGCCATTACCTAACCCTCTCATTCCGCATTTACATTGCACAGTATATTCAGAGTAGTTTAATGACATTTCTAAAGATAACTTAAGTGCATTTAACTGCAAGTTTCATATTCTTACATGACAATAATGTCACTTGGGTAACTTTTCAATAGACTACACTCTACAATAAGAGAAAAACAAACCAAAAAGTTAAAATAGCAGCAGGAGCATCATGCAAAATACCCTTGGTGACCCAAGTTCATTTATCACGAGAAAAACACTTTCCCTCCCCCCAACAAGCTTCTCTTAGAGCTTTTTTAAATACCTGGCTAGCACTGCATAACCGTACTGTGAACCAAAAGAAGGAACATTACATCAGAGCTTTATAGGGCTTACATTTATGAGAAAATATGTCACGTATTCAAATTTCACCCTCAAGCATCTTTAGTTTAATAATTTCTTAGCTATTATTTTCAAACTATCAATTCACTACCCCATTTAATTGGTCATCAATTGTGTTTTATTTCTGGCAGAGAAGTCATTCTGCATAAGGCATTTTATTCCCGGCAAAAGTTTTGTAGAAAATTAGCCATTATTCATATTTCAGCAGCTCAGAGCACTGTGAATTCCCTTTCCTTCTTTCTCCATTCCTCTACAGTCAGGGAACTACTCAAAGCAGGATTTAACGTTTAACAGAAGAATAAATGAAGGCAAAAATAACTATCCCTTTCCCCCACTTACAGATTTTCTTGGTAAATCTGCAGCAAGTTGAAATTTTAGGCCAAAATCAAGACGTCCCCTATGACAAACAGTCGTGTGGGGAGCCCTCTGACACATGCTCACCAGCAATGCAACAACTCCTGTTACCCAGCGGAGCACACAGAGTCTCTGCTTGGATGTTCTATACCATGGTGCAGCGTTCACATGAGGCTGAGGGTAGACCCCCGACATGCAGCCACTGGGGGCCCCAGGTTCTGTGTCTCAGAGATGCCATGGGACAGGCGCAGCTCGTGTTTGGCTGACTCCACGCGTGTCCCTACTTTAATGTCATCTCAGACTCCTGTTTTGGCAGGGTCTGGAGTTTAATTCCGTGGTTTTGGTTTCAGAAGGTCACAATAGGTAGTGTCTGCTGCCAGATACAAGCCAGAGGAGTAGAAACTGGAGTCCGAGAACAGACCACAGGGAGGATCTTAATCCAGAAACACCACCACAGTCGGAATAATCCTCCTGTTAGAAAGGAAAGGAAATGGGGAAATCTTGAAAAATATTTAGTAAGATACCTTCCAGAGTAAGCTTTCTTTAGTCCACTTTTGAACTCACCTTATAAAAGTGCTTTAACTGCAATCCAAATAAATAACACTTAGGTTTATTGCTTAGCATTTTGGGTAAAGCAATTTACCTAATGGCACCTGAAAAATGCTGTACATTTTAAGTTGTAAATGTTGATGATTAGAAAGGGTATACTTTAATAATAAATGCTGATTTGAGCAATGTACCAATTTTTAAATAAAAAAGCACTGTCATGACATCACAAATACACTACATTTGAAAATCCAAGAAATAAAATTTAAGAGTTCCATAACTCCAAAGTATTAAGGTTTTAACAACTGTGCACCACAAGAAAAATATATTTAATAAGTAAAACTCCTTTTCCCACATTTCTTACATTCAATTTTTCAGTTGAACATGCACTGCGTATGTAGCACCTTCAGCAAGAATTTTTTTTAAAAATGAAAAAATATATATTTGAAGAAATAACAAGAAAGGACAGCCTGAAATCATATCCGAAATACAAAATTAAGCTGGAAAGAGAGGTCTGTCTTACACGGGGACACAGAATGGCACAGCTACCTGGGCTCCCCTCAGTCTGAGTCCCAACGGCTTCCTGCTAATGCCGAGGTATTATTTATCTTCTGCCCCTAGGATGCATGTCTGCAGCACATTCACATCCTTTAACTCCTTTTAGTGTAGTGAATTTCATTTTTAAATCTTCACGTCTAATCATTCTTATAAACAACTGTTAAAAATTCACTAATCAAAGGTTCAACTTCTAAAAATCAAAATAGTGATTATACAAATGAACGATACACAAAGCTGTTCTTTCTTTCTTTCTCTCTTTTGAGAATTATTCTACAATGACTTTCAACTCTCAAAGAATAAGAGCTTTTGCTTTTGGTTGTCAGAGTTCAATACTGTGCCTACCACTTAATAAATAAAGAACATTAGGTTCTGGAACTGCGTTTGAAGAGTGTATACTTCTTTTGTATTTGTGTAGAGAAGGCCAAGAATAAAGAATCTATAAAAGAATATTTTAATTTTCAAACACTATCCCCCAAATCTAGACAGAATCACAAAATAACCAATTCTTGGTCTTCATGTATCTGACTTTCAGGAGCACTCTGAAGTATACATTTTTCTTTCTTAAAATATTCCCTCTGCACTCTTCCAGTTTTCCGTGGCTCCTGCTGAGGGCTACTCTTTTACTTTTTTGCTCCTGGGTTTGATCTCTCCCTGTTTCAGTTGCTGCTTCTCTTTTTTTTCATTAACTTTATCGGTACATTTTAGGTACACAATACAGTTACATTCATCACTGGGATTTTGCACCTGTGCATGATGTATCATCTTGGTTCTTATTTTTTCTCCTTCCCCTGCCCTCCCTTCACCCCCTCCACCCTTCCCTATTTACAAAGACTTTGTTTCCTTTTTTTCTTTTCTTGTATTTTTCTTTTCCCTTCTTTCCTTTCCCCCACCCCTCCCACTTCCCCTGCTCCTTTAGACCTTTTCTTCCCATTTCAGAATATCAACATTCAGACACTATCTCTAGGCGATTCGCTCTGGTCCAACGGCTGTAGCTGTCCTCACCCTTTTCTGCCTTCGGCCCTGAATTCTCCCCCCGCCTCCACAGGAACATCTCTCCTCTCATGCGTTCTGGAGATCCTGACTCACCGGGCCCATAGGCGGCCCTTCTCAGGGTAGCAAAGGGCACTTCGAGAGTGGAGCAGCAGCCCCACACTCCAGCTCACGAGATTCCTCCTTTTCCCCAAAGACCCCATCAGCTCGGCCTCTATTTCTACTCCACACTACAGCCAAGCCCACTACCTCCCAGACTCCCAGGTCCCACGCCCGGCACTCTCCTGCCTCAGCTTCTGCACAAGCCGTCGCTTTGCTCAGGGCTTCTGCTCTGTCCTGCCCTTTCCTACCCACCCCCTACCCCCAGCAGTCTTCTTAAAACCACACAGCACATCTTCCACATTTTTGTCTGAAAATTCTCATCATTCTCAAAACAAATCTCAATTCCTTGCGAAAGTCACAGTGTTCCATGGTCGACAGCCTCGCTGCAACTCCAGCCCTCGCCGCCGATGCTGCCTCAGAAGTACCATCTTTCTCTGCAACAGCTCAAGGTGTTTACTACCTCAGGGCCTTTGCACTCGGCTCTTCTCTTTCTCCAGGTACTTTTCCCTCCAGATACAGTAACGTGCAACCTGGTTAAAAACAGGCACCAGTTGGGGCCGGGGATTTAGCTCAGTGGTTTTGCCGCCTGCTGCGCAAGTGCAAGGACCCGAGTTCAATCTCTGGTACCAAAAACAAAACAAAACAAAAAACAGGCACCAGTTACCTTTGCACTTCAGGTGTGTGTTTGTGCTTCTCACATGAAGAGGAGTAATAGAATACATACGAGGTATGCTGTGTTTGACAAATGAATAGTAGAGAGTAAAGCAGCTAATGCACTAGTTAGAAATGTCACAGACATAAAATACGAATTCACGTCCTAATCATCACTTAACCAGCAGTACTACACAGTTCTGGCTAAGTACGTATCAATTTGATGGAATAAAAGTTATCATTCGGCTACAACTCATTTATGTATAAATGATTCATTTTATCAAGGAAATCCCTGTAACGTAATACATATCATTGTACTGTAGACTGCATTATGGAAGGCAAATATTCTCTCTGGCTCTTCACTGTTTTTCTTTTTATACATGTTGCTCTTTTTTTCCATTTTCCCTGTGTGCCATTTCAGTCTGGGAAGGGGTAGTTCGAGCTCTTGTTTCTGACTGGAAATTCTGCCCCACAGCATCCTGGTCATGTTTTTTCGTGTGTTCTGCATGGCATCGACACAGTGAGGGGTGAGATTATGCTGTGAATGAGCTGCTGTATTTTAAAGCACTTCAGCCAAAGTGCAGTCGATGGAAGGAACCTCAGCATTTTCCATCCTGGAGAGACTGAGACTCCACTGACTCCTCGATTGGACAAAGCAGTCGGATTCTTAAAGATTACAGCATCAGAAAATAACAGCTTTGACGGTAAAGCTCAGGCTGGCCTCGAACTCATAGTGATTCTCCCGCCTCAGACTTTCAAGCATGTGCCACCACACCCTGCTTTGTATTTTGAATATGACAGGCTGATTTTACTGGACTTCCTCATGCGAGCCTCTCTCTCAAAAGATCATAAAAAAGATATCACCTAAGAATCCTTCCATTTCCTTCTCCAGAACTCATTAAAAGAAAGAAGAATCTTAACTGATTTTTGCCCCAACATTCACTTCATAGAACTGTGCATACTCTTGGCAGAAATCTCCATTGTTGGTGGACTGTACACTGACACAACCACTATGGAAATCAGTGTGGAGACTCCCGCAAGACTGAAAGTGGAAATACCATTTGACCCAGCTATTCTTCTAAGTATCTTGCCAAAAGAGTTAGAGACATCATACCACAGTGATGCATGCATACCCATGTTTATAGAAGCACAATTCACAATAGCTAAATCTTGAAAACAGTCTGTATGACCATCAACACATGAATGGATAAAAAATGTGGTATTTGTACACAATGGAGTACTACTCTGCCATAAAGAAGGATAAACTTGAGTCACATGTAGGAAAACAGATGTACCTTGAGAGCATAATGTTAAGTGAAGTAACTCAGACAAACTTATATATCACATGGTTTCTCTTGTATGAAAAATTATATATATTTGTATATATGTGAGAAAGAAAATAAGTATTATAATCCAGTGTAGACAATGTATCTAAAAGTGTGCCATGACTTAGTACAATTGTCTTATATGTTTTATATGTTCTTTGGCCTATTAATCTGGCTTGCAATTTGTGTATATGATAATTTTATAAGGTCTTGTAAGATAAACAAATGAATCTGATACTGAAAAAATAAAACAGGAATCCCCCACAGGGAGTGTAATCTTTACATCCTGCAAACATGGACTAACAAAAGTCAAAGAAATAAAATCTCCATTTACTATTGTTAAATAAGTACTGCTAAACTCTTCTCTGCCTTTCTTTCCCCAACTAGTATCTGGGACAACTAACTGCACAAAAAACACTATCCTTGTTAAATTGACATAGAAATCCTTGTTGAATTTACTAAAATAAATTTAGAACTAAATTTTCCAAAATAAAATACTGTAGTCATTTGGCTAAGGAGTTTCTGTCCTTTCTTCTCTGGATTATAGCTGTTGTTTAAGTTCTCAAAAGGCCGGTCACTGGTGAAAACCTCCACTAGTTAACAGCTGACTTTGGAACTTAGATACGTCAGCACTGAAGCCATCCGGTAGTTTCCAAGTGAATCTATAATCGAAACTGTGAGGGAATACTTGCTGCACAACAATGCTTCCAGTGGAAATCAGCCCTAATGCCACCTTCAGCCTCCACATAGCACTGGCCTGACTCAGCCCAGGAGCTAGGTAATTTGTTTAACTCTTCAAGTACAGCAGGATTAATGCGCATACACATAGGAACCTATTTCTGAATATTCATTTCTGTGGTCCCAATAACATGATTTGTATGAATCAGGTTTGCATAGAACAATACTTTCTTTTTCTTTTTTTTTTTTTTTTTTTCCGGTACTGGGGATTGAACTCAGGACTTGTGCTTGGCAGGCAGGTGCTGCGCCCCACAATACACATTCTCAATAGACAGATGATTGGCTTGCTTTGCTTTCTGCTTTAATTAATGAACAATTGCAGCTCTTCGGTGTGCCCTTCTTTGCTTTTCTTTTCCACCTGTGTCTTCATGAACCCTGTGTCACAAACAGCCTCACCTGGACTCGGGTGCATTTCACGTCACGTCGGGAACATTTCCACTGCAGCTTTTTTTATTTTTACATTTTCTGAATGGAATATTCTCAGTAAGCAGTAATAGCTGAGAAAATGCTGTACTTATGCATTTTATATCTAATTCATAAATAGATATGTTACCTAAAATTCTGTTAGAGAAAAGTATACATTACAATCAAAGACAAAGACATGATGAATGTTATACTGTTCCTCATCTGTAGAATATAGTCATTGAACACCAAGATGGTCCAGTTTTCCCTTTTCTGTTAGGGCCACAAATAGGGACACTGATAGACACACAGCAGCACTGCACTCTTCCTATTCAAACGGTTGATTAACTGCCTACTTCTTGAAGGCACCTGTATATCAATTTTGGGAATATGTATATATGGACAGCAACCCAGCCCTTTTATTTCATCATCAAACCTAGCTAGGTACCTTTACCTGGGGTCTTTTGCCTCGGAAGTCTTTATCCCAGCCCTACTTTGGTTACTTTCTGCTTTGGTTACTCTGCCCCTCGCCCACTTTCCTGTGCTCTGTCTCTGCCCAGTAACGGCCACACCCCATCTAGTTGTCTCCTAATCAGTGGTACCTGGGCACCATGGAAGAAGGAACACAACGTGAGCTGCTCTAGTCACATGTGTGTGATGCTTTCAGAGTATCAGAAATGAAACTGCAGGACAATAGATGGAGCACAAATGAGGCCCCCAGGCATCTACTTAGCAGTATTGCTTATATAATTCAGAAATTTCTCAAAACATTAAAACATAATGACAATTTGACATCAAATAAAATAATTTTAGAAATTAGAGAGGCTATATTACAATATTTCAAGAACACCAATATTTTTAGAATAAAATCCTCAAAGGCTGTTTAAACTAAATTTATTTAAAAGAAAAACCGGAATGATCGAAGTCCTCATACAATGCTTGATAAAACTGAAATGGTCCATTAAATTTGTTAGCATTTTAAAAAATAAACTGATAGAACCAGCTCTAATAATTGTTAGGTATTTCTCTTTAGCAAACATAAGATGTCACCAAGCCTGTATAAAATTTGACCCACATTAACTTAATTTGTACCAAAAAACCGTGTAAGAAAACTGACATTTAAATAAATATAGGAATCTAATTTGTTCTGCTTGGTATGAGAAACTTATGCACCATTTGAAATCACCACTTTAAAAAGAATATTAGTACTGAAATTCTAATCAGTGTCTCATGGCATTTATTACTGTGGACTTAGGAATATGAATCATTTTCTAACATTTCAAGGCAAAAACAAAACGAAAGCAAAATGAGAGAAAGTGACTGACCATCCACACCACATGACAACTTGCAGTAAAATGAAGGTGGGAGCTGACGTCATGGACTCCTCGTGCATAGAAGTCCGTCCTATTAACAACGGGCAAAGTAGCCGTGCAGGAAAGGAAAGAAAACACAGAAAAGAGGACATCCGAGATGAGATTTCATGCAGTTCGCTGGCAATTAGCAGTCAATGTGCGCCTCCATCCAGAGCAGATGCCGTGACCCTTGCAAATGAGTGTTACCCAAATACTCCCCAGCTAGACAACACTATACATCATTAGCACACCAAGCTACATGGCAAGAGCTATACTTTCACACACAACCCCGTTTACAGGAACCAGAATTGCTGAAAATTCATCTTAGTCAAATTGCTGTAATGTTTTGGTGAAAAGATACAGACTCCTAGGAAGAGGATGAGAATGTGGGTTTGGTGATTTTGTATCTTTCGATTTGCCTGGGTGAATTCATCTGCCCTTGTATTGTCAGAAGTCGGTGAGCAGCCACTGGGCGTGAAGGCTCCCTAGTGAGGGACAGCACCCGTGGGCCCACAAACTCTTTTGGGAACCAGAATAACAGGGTCCTCAAATATGGATCGTGTGAGTCTTACTAGGTAGCACTGAAAGAAGAGATAATCTTAGTTCCGACTTTGAATCACTTTTAAGGGAAATGGTCAATTCTCCTCACAGAGACAAGCTGGATATACTGGCCATCAAGTCTTGGAGTTTACTTCTTCTTTGTTCCATTTTTGTTTTTTTGGGTTTTTTTGGTACCGGGGATCAAACTCAGGACCTTGTGCTTGCTAGATGGGCAGCAGAGCCACTGAGTTAAATCCCCGGCCCTCTTTGTTCCATTTTAAAATTTATATTATCTAGTTGTTTGATAGATATCTGGGAAAATGCTTAATCTTTTGTGGTTGTAACTCTAAGTACTTTTAAAAACACAAGTTAATCAACAGATGTTCTGATGTATTTTTAGACTAACAAATGTATGAGATGTCAAGTTTCTGTTTTTAAGCTCATTGTCCAAGCCACCTAATGTAGAACACCTTGAAAAATCAGAACGGGGGAATATTCTATTTCAAATCAGTAAAAATGGACAGAGATTTTTGTGGCATTTATTTTTGAGAATAAATTTTGTAATTAAAATAATTTTGAAAGCATAAACTTGACTATATATACAAGTCAGAAAAATGATAATTGGGAAAGAGACGATTTATAGGAAAAATAGTGATCATCTTTAAATAATATATATTAAATGCTCTTTGTAATTTATAAAATTAACCTTGCAAAATTGAATAGCCTAACTTCAAATAGTTAGAAAATATATAATTAAAGAAAATAATATCAGAAACCAAATAAAGGAAATTAGAAATATAAAATAATAGGAAAATGGCAACATAACAGGTATTTAACATACTTAATGAAGACAAACACAAACTAATAGGAATATTTTCATAAAAATAGTATATTTTCAAGTTTTGAATACAAATGCAAGCAGGCAACACATATAAATAATATTTACTATGAGTTATTTTATTAGAAAATCTTTAAAATCAGATTTGTGATCATGTAGTATCAGTAGATTGATGGAGTTGTGTTTGAAAGTACAATTTCTGTGGGGAAGACAGAAGAAGCAACTATTTAAATTTGTGCTAATCATGACAAATTTGGGAATGAAAAAAATCTACCTACCAGCAAGTATATCACATTAATGAGAAAAAACTATGGTCAAGACATTTATGTTTGAGATAAAATTCCAATTTACCGCTTAAGTTCTGGTGGACAACAGCCACTTATTTATGCAATTTTAATCCACTAAACATGTTGTCTTACCATCTCACTGTTGTCAAAGCAGACATCTGGCCCTTTTCGGTATCTGGGTTGCTTAACCATATCGCAAGGATTTGGACCATCAGCTGGAGACTTGTTAAGGAAGAGGAAGTTACATTTCCCCCCAACATGTGATTAAAAGTGATAGAATGAAACCTATTTATTTATCAATTTAAGCAGGAGATACTTATGCCATTACTTTCATACAACACCATCAATTCCAGTGCATGGGGATGTAAAGAGCTGAATTGAATTTTCCTCCTAGGGCTTGAGGGGAAGAAGCAACTTTGACATTCAAAGCCAATGTTTGGCGAAGCATTCATTCTTCCTCCCTGAGGTGATCACAGGACTCTGGTACTAGTGTTTCTCTTTATAAGCAAAAACAAAGTGACCAAGTGACCAACACACTGCTTTATGTTGGCTCTCCATCCTGAACATCTCTGATGTCAAAGGATACACGTCTGCTCCGCCTGGATGAGCAGCCGAGTGTCACAGGGACAGGACCCTTTGCTCTCGACCATTATGAACATTAAGTTGGTGTTCATAAGCTTTTCTACGTGAAAGATTCTGCAAAATTAGTGTTAAAGATCGCGTGAAATGAAAATTATCTTCTGGGAAAGGAATGGAACTATTTCAATGATTCTCACATGACAAAATATGACCTATGAAAACACAAAGCATCACAGCTGTAAGTAGTAAAAAGAATGAGTGTATTTTTAAAAACAAAGATTATTATCTTTGTATTTAATACTACGAACTTATTACCTCCCTCAAATTAATATTAAGGAACAAATGTCATACGTAAGACATTTGTTACAGCAATTGTGTTAACTCTGTAAAATAAGCCCTGTCTAGCTGTTGAAACTCATAGGGAAATGGTCCATTTTACATGCATAAGGAATTGTGGTATTCATCCCTTAAAACATGCCAAAGGAGCCTTATTATAGATAGGAAATTGGGGTAAGAAAAGTGGCTAAGTGTTCTCAAGCAAAGGGCAGAACAGTCGCAATGACGACACCCAGGGAAAGGCGCCCAGAGGCAGATGTGCTTTCTGCTCTTCCCAACATGGCAAACTTTAGGCACAGAGTCTGCTGAGCACTTGGATGTGACAGGCGTGACCAAGACACCACCGTCTGAATGCGGTCAGTCCCGGACTGGACAGCACAGAGAGACAGAATCAAGGGCTTGAAATGCCATCCCCACTTTTAGTCACGTCTACACCTCCTTCTGTCCTTCTCTGTAACCAACGTCAACATGTAAGCGGTGTCACTAAAAGAGTAATTTTACAATTATACAAATTTCAAAGTAGAATTTTATTCAGCCCCCCACTGATTTGGCACACAAACCTAGAACAAATGAGATGAAAATATAACTCAATCAGAAAGCCTGATTCAAAGGATGTCTCCATCATCCCGACCTTTAGCTTCCAACTGAACTTAGTTCTTCAAGTACGCATTGCTCCTCTTGGAGTCAGGCAGGATCCACAAACACGCTGCAGCCCTACAGCTGACATGCCCACCTCCAGCCCATACCAGCTGCTTCTGCTCTGAGCTCACGTTTGAGTCCTCGGCTTTGGCCCTCCTCCTCTGCGGACACAGCAGCTTGCAGAGCATGTCATAAAACACCAGCTGCCGCGTCTACTCACCATTCGTGGTCGGCATGGTCAACGCTTCTTGACAGTTGTTGTAACTGTCACAGCTTCTTTGCAGAATCTCCTAGCAACTCAGCATTTTAGCGCCTTCACCATCTCAGCCTACCTCAGCTCCTCACATTTCCCTCATCTCTGTTAACATTTCTTTTGGAACAACCGGCCTCTGTCTCTAAAAACGAAGTGTCCCAACTCTGCCTCCTGAGGGGGACCTGCTGCCCAGCCTGGCTCCCGAGACATGGATCATCACTTTCCCCTCAAACCTTTCAAAATCCCCATCCTTCCTTTCTCCTTTCTTCCATTACAGCCAATTAAATTTTCCATCTCATCGCAAAACCTTTAAAGATGTTTTATGAACACTGACTGAATAACATTAACCATGACTGTATGAAATTATACTTTCCCAGATTCTTCAGTTTCAAGTCAAAGGTAACATTCAATTCTTCATGTCAGAGAGGACTAGAAATAAAAACAAACCAAAGAACTATCCTTTTGGAAACCAGCTTAACTACCATATGTAAAAGGAAACTATATTTGGCTTAGAATTATTAAATAACGCACACTAATTGTATTAGAATTAACGTAAATATCATTCTCTAAATCAAAAAGTTGCAATATGGATTCTGTTAGATGAAAAATGTATTAAATATATCCAAATTTCTCTATGTTCTGACTACAACCGACAGGCAGTTATGTTGACCATATAATTATAGTTGAGTTACTACTTAGCAAATTTAGAGTTTTAAATGCTATACATTTTTAAGCCTTCCAAGAAACTGGAGATGTCTGATATTTCCAACTGAAACAGTTAGTCCCATCTGTGAACCCAATGATGGTTTCTGCCATCCCCATAAAGATTGTGAACACCGCTGGGACTTGGTGGACGGCAGACCCCGGCACAGAGTACCTGGAGCAGTTCCCGCAGTCCAGGATGCCGCTGAAGGACTTGCTGTCATTGTAGAAGAAGTACTGGGTTTGCTCAGTGATGCAGCTCTGCTTGGACAGGGAGGCTGTGAAGTCCTCCTCCTCCACGTCCACTGTGAGGGTCAAGACACAAGTCAGCAGGCCACCCGGCCTCCTTCCCAACCGGCCAAAACCAACACCAGAAGACATCAGGGCTTGTGTTGTGTGGCACCCTGACAGCCCCCTAAGAGGTGCCCAATGCGTATCAACAGGATATCAAAAGGACAGCTACAAAACAGGGGACAACAGGAATATAAAATTTTTCTAGAATATTAGGAAAGGCCTGATGAAGTCAACCTACAGAAGTGTCAGATGGATGATGCCTCTCTTACATGCCCACATGAGCGCACGCGCGCGCGCAAACACACACACACACATGCTTTTGTTGAGCTAAACTCATGATGGCCAAAGTGAGTTTTCATTGTTATGATGATGACCACACAGGAGCCTTTCCGTACCTGCTTCCAGGAGCCCAGGAAAGGTCAAACTCAGGAGAAACTGCTGGAGAATAGACCTGAATTTTTAAAATGAATAATTGAGAAAAATCTAGAAATTTTCCTCTATGAATTTTTTACTAAAAACTTCAACATTTTATATGTGAACGTACAAATAAACAATATATTTTCCATCCATTTGAAAGTTGCTCACTGAAAATGTAGGAACATTTTTATACACATATTTCCTAAATTAGACCAAACAGTGTAATTTTGCTGTAATCTGCGAAAGAAGGCAGGGGTTTGGGAGACCAAGTTTGGATCATGCACGTGTTCAAAGGCCCAGCCCGCAGTGCTAGTGTGCAGCACTGTACTCTTCCACAGCACCTTTCTTTTCAAGGCCAATCCAGCTGAAATGGCGACTCACCAGGCAGCAGCGGTGGCCCACCAGCCGATCTGCAGCACGTCTGCTATGGAGGGCTGTAAAACACCAGGAGCAAGTCAGTTCCTGTCCACGCTGCCCAGGCCAGGAACTGGCCCACCGAGCCTCCACTCACCACGTGTGCCGAGCGATGTCCGGCTCCTTGCTTCGGGGCTGCACCTGGCTCGCACACTGACTGATAGTCGTAAGATTTGTTAAAAGCATACACTGGTATATTAACCAGGTGTCTCATCAGGCTGGGGTCGATCTCTCCAAAAAATCGTCCAATCTGATGAAGAAAATATGTATTAAAGTTTCAAATGTACACCAGAGATAAATATCTGAACCGGCCCAGTGAAAAGGAATAATCTAAGAAACTGAACTAAAGAACAGAAGCGCTGAAGAGCAAATCCGGCGAGAAACCTGCGTGGGGCAGTGGAAAGGACTGAAATTGCACTCTGGTCTTCAGAGCCTGTCCACAAGCTCCCTTGTCGGGAATGGACACGGCACTAAGCACCCGGGCCCAGGGAAATGCTGCGGGGAGGGGACAGAGGTCAGAGTGAGAGGTCCTCTTTCCAGGGGGAGCAGCCTTGAGTGGACCACAGAGGAGCACAGTAATAACCGCAGTAATAATGTCTGTGCTACAGAAATGACCGTATATCAAACATCTCTGCGTCAGTACATACAGTGAAGCACAAAAGCAAACAAACACAAAGGCAAACACCTTGCGGGGAAGTGACATGTAAGCTAAATGAGCAAGTGGACTGAATAGAGAAACAGAAACAAAAACAAAAACAAAGAAGTTTGAGGGACTGAGGGACGGGAAGAGGCTCGCGTGCAGGTGAGAGTCAGTTCTTCAGCCCCAGCCAGGCCCGGCTGCTACACAGGAAGGCAGGCCAGTGCTCAGAGTCTTTGCTTTTTTCCCTTTATAACTAGAGAAGCGCCAAATGCAGATTCCGAAATGAAATAAATTGGCAGCTAATTCCAGTCTGTTCAGTCCTGGGTGAGCTGCCGATCCGCAGAGGAACTACCACCGCAGCTGCTTCAGCCAGCCTCTACCAAGTGACAAATGGTTAATACGAGACGATTTTCTAAACGTCTGAAAGACTGAAATAAGTTCATGTCATATTAAAATCCTTACTAACGTTTTAATTATAACTATCTAAGAAGTAAAATCAATTAAAAAGCTTGAAGAAAAGCTAGGGTTGGCATGGATTTCTTAATGGTTTACACTATATTAAGCATTTTAGAATTTATTTGTGACAGAAGAAAAACAGTGTACCAACTTCTCTAACGTCTGGAGGCATCTGTCAGGGACATATGACAGGGACACACACGCTGGAGACCTCGCACCCCCATGTCAGCTGCGTACCTGATTCGTATAATCATCATGATTTGCCATCAAAAGAAATCCACCATCATCTAGAATCACACAATCCATTACCTACAACATAAAAACAGCAGTCAGTACATCTTTAGGAAGTGTAACAGCCGGACTGTCATTACTCCATTGTTTGAGAAGATCAAAACAGCAAAACCAGGGGGAATTTAAATCACTATTTTCTCTTGAACACCCATGCCAGAGTCTCTGACTAAATAAATATCAACCGCCAGGGCTGATTGCAAAGCACCAACCCTCTTCTCAGGACAACTCGCCCGGACAAACCCTAAGAACAACTCAAATAATCTTTTTACCAGTTCAAGTCAACCACTTGATCCAGGAAGTTGGACAGACTAAAATATTTGATAATGTATTATTTTAAACATGTAAGGTTTTGACAAGAAAATATTTTAGAAATCATTTCAGATACTGTATTTCATAGATTAAAGAATAAAAGCCAGCAGCATTAAGATTACAAATATCTTATATTTTGTGCTAAAAATGTTTGATTGGACAATTGGAAATTAAAAAGGAGGAAGCAAAACAAAAAAAAAATGCCCATGGCTAAGAAAAAAGAATTCATCCTGCAATAGAGGAAAAAAATCCCACCAAGTTTAAATAAAAATCAATGTAATAATTATTATTGAATAAAATCTGAATTACAACACTGTTTTCAGAGTTGGGAACATAATGAATTATGCTTTCCTAATGTGGAAGCAGATTGCTAAAACTTTTGCTCTAAGAACAGCCACTACATAGTCTATGCACAGTGGACAATTTATAAAAATTTAAATTTGCTGGTTGCCACTTTTGTTCAGATGCAGAAAGAATGGAGAGGACATGAATTCCCGCTTCCACTGGAAACCATCCACCCACACAAAAGATCTGAAGAAAGCAGTGGTCTTCGTCGTTCATTTTCAACTTTGGAATAATTTGTATATTATAATTAGAGCACCTTCAATTTTTGAACAAAGCCTATACACTGTTTTTCAATTTCTCAAACAGAGTTGCAAATAATACAGGACAATGCAAAACCCAGGCCTTGTTAATTCAAACATTATAACAAACTATGTGACTCCAGGATCTACTTGTAAAATTTTTTCCCCATCACCATAAATTGTGTGAAAAAACTCAGAGAAGGTTCAAAGGATGAGAGAAGAAGTCATCGAGAACCAAGAAGATGTTTTGGTTAGAAATTTCTCACCGAGAAATAGAGGTGAAGGTAAATAGGTACAAGAATAATGACTGAGAATGAAGAGAACCTCACCCATACCAACAGGAATTTTTTTGCCTTCCCATACATCTGAATGTTTTTAAAAGACGTATTTAAAGATAAGAATTAAAAGTACAAATATTTAAATTAATATCTACTAATCAGTACATGCTTTCATAGAATTTAGCATTTAATTACAAATTCCTACATCTTTTTTATCAATACTGTAAAGTCTCAACAAGCAAGAGGAATAAAAGAAAATACTGTCACTATATATATTTTAAAGAGTTTTCTTACATCACTGTTTCTTTTGCAGTCACAAATTGGACCAGCACACTGAAAGACAGAAATACAGTTATCTCATTTAAAACATAGATTTGAACTATATTTATTGCTGCCAGGCTTTAAGTAGATACTTTGGAGTAATTTATCTAGTATAAAATAAGATTACATAATGGCCAAATAAAAATAGTAATTTCAAGGGCTGCAGATGTAGCTCAGTGGCAGCACACCTGCCTGGCAAGTGCAAGGACCTGAGTTCGATCCCGTGTACTAGAAAAAAAAGTGACTTTACCTTTAAAATTAGAAAATATCAATCAATTGATATCTAAATTAGCATATCAAATTATAAACTTAAAAAATTTAACTACTGACTAAATAAAACAAAGTTTAAATAAGCAGGCATCAATATGTCTTTTTTTTTTTTTTTCGGTACCGGGGATCAAACTCGGGTCCTTGCGCTTATGCAGCAGGCGGCGAAACCACTGAGCTAAATCCCAGGTGCTTATATTTCAATGTAGTGGCAGTGAAAATTTATTTTGCCACTCTATAGGGAGCTTATGGTTTTGAATTTTGAGAATGTTAAGTATACCATAAAAAAAAAAATTCTTACCGGATCCCTGATTGAGGCTTTGGTGAAATTCTCTATCCAGGAATTCACATCAATTTTAATTCCAACAACTAAAAAATTAATGTTAATTAAAGGCATAGTTAGCTATAATACTTTCTTCACTACATGACAGTCCAGGGCAGGGATGGCGAACCTTTTAGAGCTTTCAGTGATAACAAACAGGTAGCTGTGGCACACGTGCCATAGGTTCGCCACCTCTGGTCTAGGTGATTTACGTAACAGCAAGTAAATGCTGGGTTGAAAATAATGTTTTTCACACAGATATATTTCCTAGGGTCTTCGTTAAGAAATAATGCTACTAGCTCTTAAACTATTACATAAACTCTAATTTATATCCCCCAAACCGTGCGCTCGTGTACTGCTCCTGCAGGCCGAATAGGTAAGCGATGGTGACAGGGTCACCTCAGGGCTGCGGTTAAGCTGAGCTGCGTCTGAGAAGGGCCAGGGGACAGAGGGGGCGCGCAGAGGGGGCGCAGAGGGGGCACGCGAGCTGGAAGCGCAGGGCAGCAGACAGAGCAGTGGGTGAAGCCGCACCCGAGGGCAGGAGGGCAAGCAGGCCCACGCGTGAGTCCCACTGGTGCTGAGCCGTGACGGGCGTGTCCTCGGAAGCGGGGAACCACTCTCCCTTCTCCCGCGGCCCTCCCGGAGCTCTTCACTTTAAACCACACGGGTCACACAGTGGGCAAAGGCACGCTTTTCTCTGGGCCTCAGCACTCATTCCCGCCCACTCCCAAGTCTCACTGATGCGGTCTTCTGTTTCTGTTTGCTTGCTTGATTTATCTTACTAAAAATTCACTTTTCCATATATTTTATTCCACATTTGGATACTTACCTAGTTCTTTTTGATAGACATTCAGAGGTCTAACATATAGCTATACCATAATTTATCTGTTCCCCAGTGATGAAATTTTCATGATTATGTCAAAAATGTATACCCTTGGTCACCTACCTGGGTATATTTGAGAGCACAAGAGAGTTCTAGTGTAGAATGGCTAGATCAACCCAAGATTTACAATTTTGGTATATAATACCAAATTGATGGCCTAAATTTGTGAATAGCATATAAATATAGCTACATCTTTGAAAATTTTTACACTTTGTATAACAGCAATTCCTTAATTTCATAATTACTAACTGTATACTATATTAAAATTTTTCATATCATTGACATTGAGGTTTCCTGGTAAATGCTGACAGTTTGTGATATAAAACCGAGGGCACATTTTACTTCTGGTCATGTTCGTGTGTATAATGTGCATGCTTACCTGCAGGCTTAAGGAATTTTCCTTGGATATATATTTCTACAGCTTTGCTTACCATAATGCCTGACTCATAGGCACCAGGTCCACTTTCTAAAGAAAAAAAAAAAACAGACCAATCTAGATAAGTCATGAAACTGAATTTCTTTTAACAGATACAGGTGGAGAGTGTTTTCCTTAAAAATGCTAGTGTTTGTGATTACATAGAGGTGTGTGATCTCGTTTTTGTTGCTTCTTCCTTACAGCCCAGACTAACAAGAATGCCCATGAATTGGTTTTCTACAGTGTGACATGTGCACAGCAAATCTCCACTGCACTGCATTTGCTATAATGTCAGGGAGGCTGCTGAAGTGAAATGAAAGGATGGCCTTGGAGTTATGAAGCTACCTCTGCCTTTGATGGATATACACCCTTAGACAACACTGAAATTCACTGAACTTTGTTTCCTCGTTTGTGGAGATGGGAATAAAGAATACCTGTGCTCAGAGATGTTGAAGAAGTAAGTTGGAAAGTTTTTTATTTTTGGAGAGCAAGAACCTGGTAAAGTATTTGTAAAGAATCTACTATTTTTATAAATACTACAAAATACAATTAATCAATTCACTCCGCTTAAATTCACTGTAGATTTTTCAACATATTTTCTGGTGTGGGAGAGTAGGTAGTAGAATACATTGTATAAAAAGAATAGAGAAAGCCAAGTTCCAGAGCAACACTTACTATTAAAGTAGGGGGCTGTGAAAACATAGTTATCATTATCCAGGCTCCGCTTGTAGAAGCTGTCCTCATAGGTTTCTGGGTTTTCTTGCCAATTTTCTCCAGCCCTAAGGAGGAAACGGCTCATCATTTGTATTCTTTAAACCACCTGATAGCCTGCTTTTCCCTGTGAGGACTCACTGGGCTTTGCAGAGATGTCTGGATCTCAGAGGTGTGGGAGGGAGGGGGGTAACTGACAGTGCACCTGATGTTGTGCTCACTGCTCAGCAGTGGATCCGCTCAGCACTATGGTAAGAATCCCAAAAACTGACTGGGTTTTACTCTGCTCTTGACTAGACAGAAAATTATGGATGAGTCAGTTGATAAGCTAATTAATATCAATAGGCTTGGTGTCTACTTTGTGCACTGTACAAACTATTCATATACACGTATATATCATCAATGAACTAGCAATGATATCATTGAAAAATCCTATGGTGGAATTTCTCAGCAAAAGTATTTTGTAATATATTTTAATATAACTCTTTAAACAACAACTGCAATTTAATCTAACATTGAACAGCTCCCTCTGAAGAATGGCTTCCTTATACAGTAATGCGCGGCTCCTCAACACAGCTTGTCATAGTGCAGTTATTTTTACAGATGTTATTTGAACTTACTCTTTGGGATAAACTCTGGTAATCCCACCATCAGTCACAACAAACCGTGCTCTCACTCCCTTGCTGAAACAGAAGACGAAAGGAGGAAATTCTGTGTTAAGCTTACTCTGAGATACCGAGCTAGGTCTTGGTGATTCAAAAGGAAAAGGACAAGTTCGGAAAGGAAATCGAAGATGCAAAGCTATGTTTTAACAAATGGACAACTTTGAAGCAAGTGCTGGGGGTGGGGGGTTGCGTACGGAAGGGCTCTCACAGCAAATAATGACTGGGCCGCATCTCGAGGATGGAGTGGGAGCAGACAGGGATGACGGAGAAATAGGCAATTATTTATCACAGGCAGTGTGAAGAGTCTGTATGAGGGGAAGCGAGTTAAGAGTGCCGGTGTTTGGTGTCAGAAAAGCATACGGTAAAGAGGGGATCAGTAGAAGTCAAGTACAAACTTCTTAAGAATGGGCAGCTCATGAATGGTTCTGAGGTTCATGCAAGAGAACTTCATCTTTATGCAGAAAGCAGGGCTGCACCCTGGAAGGGTCTGGCAGGAGCACACTGTAAGGAGAACCACTGAGGCTGTGTGTGAGGACAGGGCAGCACCAGCAGGCTCAAAAATCAGTTGCTGGAACTTCTTAAAGACGGGATTCTAAGGCATTGCTTGTGAAGGAGAAAGGACATTGCTAGGGAACATGCATCATTTAGTTATGAACTGAAAAATGGATTCTTAATGAGAATCATAACAGATTTCTCAGTTTCTTCAGTGGAAGACTGCAAAGTGCAATTAGAAAGCCGACTAAACATTCACTGGAATCCAATGTTCTCACAAACACAGGGAGACACAAACTGGCCTGTTTCATGTGGTTTATTCTCACTGAAGTGTAAATCTGAGTAACAGCAGATTTTATTATGGAAATATACCCCAAACTGAACATGCACGCTGTCAACAATGCCAAAATGATTTTCTTGAGAAATTCTTATTAAATATAAATAACATATCTGTTCTGTATATGAATTAACCATGATGAACCAACCATTATGTACTATAAATATGAACTAGTAAAAATAAAAAGAGAAATAATAAATTTTAAATTTATAAGGCCCATTATCTAAACATTCCCCAAAGAGAAGCTAAACGGAAATGCAGAATGTATATTTTTTTATTAATAAGAACAAATACTTACATGTTTTTCTGCTTACTCCAGTAATTTTGGACAAGTTCATTTGTAAAACCTGCATCCAGCAAGACTCTATTAATCAAATCTGTATTACCTAACAGAAAAGGGATATCTTCAATTATATTCACATAGTTTTTTAATTAGGACAATGATGAACATTTTCATTATTTCATTCATTTTTTTAAAACAATTTAGAATAGATTATGTTTCCATGAATTAAAGAATACATTTTATACTCCTTATGTATTTTCTGTATTGTTCATGTCATTATTGTTTTTTTTTTTTAAGAAAATGGATGGAATTAGCAGTGAAAAAGTGAATTCCAAATGAGAGAAACTGCTCTGTAAACTTTATCAAAAAGATAACCTGATGTGTGTCATGTTAGGAAATAATGAGCAAGTTGTTTTCCTTTTTTTGCTTTTTCTTTGTTCTTTAATGTTCTTTAAGGTTAATATGGTGACTCCAACATAACTTCAATTCTATATACATAAAGATTTTACATACATGTAAATCTTGCACTCAACTGTGCATGTGTGCATGTATGTATGTGGATGTCATAGTACTAATTCTAAACTTGTCATGTAAGACCAAACAAAATGTTCTTTCTATACTGAAAATTATTTTTTTAAATTCTTCCTCATTCTCTGTAGCAAAGTATAAGACAATCATGGAGTAAATCTGACTTTTATGAGAAGCTCAGTACATGTTCTTTTGGCTCTCAGCAGACACAAGGAATAGATCACAGACCAGTGCTGCTCATGACAGGACTTTGGCATCTACTGGGATTGGTAAAGAGCACAGGTTGGGGTACAATTTCTGGAATAACTGAAGAGGGCAAGAGCCCAAGTTCAAAGGTACCGAGGGAAGAGACGAGGTGGACCATGGCTGATTAATAAACTCAAAAATACAATGCCTTTTCCCTCTCTCCTGCCTCCTCTACTCTAGCCCAGGAAGCACTGAAATAGCCTTTAAGACCCTTACACCATCTCACATTTATGATAAAATTTCATTTATTCAGATGAGGAATATATGGTAGGAATATCCAATTACAATAAGAAGCGGGGTGGGGTGGGCTGGAAACATTGTAAATGATTTTAATTGCTTTACGATTTCCTTCATCTGGGATTAAAGGATCAACTTAATCCCTATTTGAAAGTACTCACTTCATGCTAGGATCTGTCTTCTTTATTGTATTATTTTAGAAATTGCATGACTTTAAAGTATAGCACATTTGGAAAGTAAATGATATATTTTAATAGTCTCCAATCTTTTTATGTAAAAAAAAGGGTGATTCTAATTTGTCATATAAATCAAGTTTGCAAGTAATTTTATGATTTTTCTAACATTTCATTATGTTCTATGTGTCTTGGCATGTCTCCTACAGGGGTTACATACAATATATAAACTACTAGAACTGATCTTTACTGTTTCTTACATACACTTTTTAAATGTTATGAGAACTTTTGACTTTCTCTTTTTGTCATTATTCTACTTTACAATTATAAATGGACAGACAGTCCATTTAAAGATTAAAGGATAACGGGAGGATGTAAGGCAGGTAACCATTATAGGTCAAACATTAAACTTTAGGAAAGAATCTGAATTTCACTAGTGGACTAAGTGTAGGTGTTTTACATAGAAAAATTAAACGTGAATGCACTTTTAAAAAATAAACTATTTAGAGCATAGATTTCAATCACATAAAGTTTTAGAGTTAGTTCTATACACTGTTTGATAACATAAAATAACTTTAAGAAAAAAGCTAACTTTATGGTATGTGTTCTTTTCTACAATTAATTATTTATAAATTCTCAATCTATGCATGATTATGTTATCATCACAAACACTTCCCACTGGGTTATAGGAGGGACAGATATGAAGAAAGAGACTAAAGAATAGACAACAACAGTAAGAATTGTACTGAAAGCATTTGTTTAAACATTTATACGGTCTTGGGAACTAGAGGCAGTGAAAAAATAATTCCAATTTTCCTGGTTTTCTGAAAATTTATTATGTATATTAAGACAAACATTTACAATAAAATTTCTCTTTGTAAAGACTATATGGGTGCAGGGTCAGGGATTTAGCTCAGTGGTGCCATGCCTGCCTCGCAAGTGCAAGGTCCTGAGTTCAATCCCCAGTACTGGAAAATAAAAATAATAAATTTAAAAACAGATTATAGGGGTGCTACATAATTTTGCTATCCAATTCAAGATAGTTAGCAATCTTATTACTTATTAATAGAAAATAAGCAGTGACATAAGGTAACACTTAGGCCCTGGCTTAGGTTGAACTCACAGTGAGACGAAAGGTCTGGAACCCCCTGGCAACACATGAACTGGGGGCCTCAGCTGCCCAGCACAACTTTTGAGTACCTCTGTGAAGCAGCCTGCTGATTCGCACTGAAGTCAAGCCACTAGCAAGTCGTTAGTTTTTGTTTGTGACAATTTTAAAAAGCAAGAGCTTCAAGAAATGGGTTTTTCACTTTTGATAAGTAATAAAATGCTTTAACTCTTCTTGATATAAAGAGAAGAAAAAACATTTTTTTACAAAGAGAGAAAGGAGGAGACGAAGGAAGAGAAAGATGGGGTATGGATCAAATTGTTACATTTTACCATTAAAATTCATAAAGTATGCAAATCGATGAGCACACTAATAGACTAATAGGGTTACTGCATGATATGCTAATAAGAGCTGAACTTTGACCACATCAGATTAAACACACTGAGGGAATTACTGCAGATTAATGCATACTTACATGATGGGTTGTTTGGAGTTTTTCTGTCAATAAACTCATTGAAATTTAAAAGGAATTCAGTGTTGTTATCAGATGGTTTAAGGTCATTGCAGTAATCTCTGAAAATACATATTTAGGGTATTAATAGTAAAACTTTACTGGGCATTTAGAAATAATAGACTTCTTCTTTTCATTTTCTCCCCAGCTGCATAGCTTTGCAAGCTGTTGAACTTCTTTTTATCTTTATTTCCTCATCTCCACATGGAATAATAGTTTGTCATATCTTAGAGGTGAGATTACAGACAATAAATATGTGTTAAAGCTGGTCTCTGTTCAGTATGCATTAGGCTTCGCTGTATGTATTAAACTATTATCATTGCATATTATAGGTTTACAGTTCTCATAGAAATTATAACAGGAATTTAAAGACTCATTCATTAAAATATTAATAAGTTGATTACATTAACATTTCATGAGAAATTATTGTATTAAAAATTAGTGAAAAATATCTCTTTTATTCCCAGCTTAACAGACAAGTACGCTCTCTTCATTCAGCCAAGGGCAAGGATTTTCTTAGAACATGATGAAAATATGTTCACAGAGACAGGCAGTTAGAAAAGACAGGGTTATTTTAATACTTTCAAATGTTGTGGTTGTTATTTTATAAAAAATTTCATTGTTTTAATGTCTTGCTTGTTAACTGTAATACAGAATCAGAAAGAGTATCAGAATTCTGTCATATCAAACTACAATGTTCTATCTTTCCCTTTGAATATTTTGGGCACCCATGATTTTCAACATCATAATCTGGTTATTTGAAGACCACTAATTGTACCAAACGTGCACGTGACATGTTCACTCTGGTCCACCGGAAAACCGCACACACTGGTATAACCACTGACCTCACCAGCTTGACCTGCACAGGAAGGCTGTCATGCTTGTAAAAGTGGATACTTTTGCCAAATTCTGATTTTTTTTTTGCTTAAAAGCTCAAATTTTCTCATTGGCAACAAATGATGTTTAAATGTTTTCTTCAAGATAAAGGGCTCAATGGATTCATTTTTGAAAAATGTCTGCTGGATATCACAGGCTGAATAGCTATCATTCATTTTTTCATCTCCCATTTAAGTACAATAATATATTTTAATAGAGGCAAAATGACCCGCTTAATTCAACTCCCAACTCAATCACACAAGTCCTTTTCTCTGAGACATTCAGGTTACTCTAGACTTTCCAGTCTTATCAAACAATAATAATAATAATAATAATAATAATAATAATAATAAAGAATAGGCTCCAATCAAGTTAATGATTTTTACTGGCTCAATTCTGGACATTTTGGAGTAAAACTGGCTTTACCCCCATGTGGGTGGCTGGTAGTGACATTGCTCTGATTCATGCTAAGCCACAGTTCTGCCATAGCTTTGCCCTCCGGCACAAATACCAATTCAGGAAAAGGGCAAACCGCACTTAGCATCATTATGAAAATACCTGAGACCTGGTGGATCCACTGAAAAAATTTAAAATCCATACAGCTCAGGAAACCTTAGTCTGACAACCACAGTCAGAAATGATTCAGAAATTCAAAATAAAAATGAAGCAACACAGATCTAAGGAGCTCACAATTAGAATTTCCTGGGCTAATACAACCAGAAGAAAATGCTTGAGACAAAACACAATTAAATAGTAACCAAAGAATAAACATTTTCAGATGCAAAGCCATCACCCAAACACAAAGTCTCCGAAGACACAGCAGAACCAAAAGTCAGAACTTCAAAAGGAAAAAACAAAAGAACAACTTCTTGGCTTATGAAAAAGTTTAGCCTAGAGGCAAGATTTAGAAATCTGACATGCCAAATTTGACATGAGGTGTTGACAGAGCTCAATTTGATTTCTTCTTGCAGCACAAGAGCCATGGCTGGTGAAACTACCAGTGGAAGAAGACAAATCCTGTCAGAAGCAAGACAGAGAAGATTTAAGCAATGGAAACATGAGAAACCCTGAACGCTGTGTCACTGGAATGGGTTTCCTGGCGATAGATCGGAATGATCCGGAGGACAACAGGAAATTCCATCGCCAGAGCCCGCTGGATGCCGAGACAGGATGGTGTCCGAACGTGTGTCCCAGAGAAGCATTGACGACGTTCAGACAGTGCACTGCTGTTCACCCCCAAGCCAGGAGCTTGAAAACAACATAATCAATAACCCATCACCATTTCTCAGGTCCTCATCCCAGGGAGCCCAGTGGGTGTCAGTACAAAGACTGTGGTCAGCAAAACAGCTCATGGTTCCCTGGATACCCCGAAAGACCTTCCCAGTTCTCACCCTGTGCTGCAGTGTTTCTCCAAAAGAAACCAGTTTTGTACACAATGCTCATTAGTCAATCTCTCCTAGGAGGAAAAGAATTCCTCAGGAAAACTGAGGCAGCAAAATGAAGAAGTGCTCAGCTGAATTTGAAGGAAAAACACAGAACATCAGTTTGTCTTCAAAGATTTAAAGTTACATCTTGTGGCCATTTTGCGTCTCAGATTAACTGGGCTTTGAAATGCACGTGGCTTTGACATTAAATGGACTATGGTATTCCAAATCTGGCCAAATTATTTCTAGGATACCCGCAGTGCATCTGTTTTCATGAGGCTCCTCAAACTTACAAAGGTGAAACACTACACGTGAATGCTTAACTATAGGCTACAGCATATTGTTTCCTTCTCATCCTAACTCATCTTTACTTCTGATCACCCAAGAATAAGGTAAAGTAAATCCGTGTGAGACGGCTCACCCTGGGGACCAGGCACCTCAGAAAGGTGCAAACGGCACCCACTGCAGCCACATTCTCAATGTCTTCCCTTTGCAGTTTTAAAATCTAAGAAAATGGCAAATGTTGATTATTAACCAGAATCAAATAGCTTAACTTATTTCAGAATGAACAAGAATTTATTCCTAAAATCTGTAAGCTCTTTATTTTAAAATAAGTAATTTTTAAACGCCCTTTATTAATAATACTCTACATACAGGGCCAGGGATTTAGCTCAGAGGTTTCACCACCTTTTGTGCAAGCTCAAGGACCTGAGTTTGATTCCTGGTACCAAAAAAACCCCCCAACTCTACATACAACTATTGCCTCCTGCCTAAGCTGTCAGGAATGATAACATACTCAATTAGAGCTTATTTACTAAGAACTATGATAAATATTTGCATGCATTGTCTTGTATAAAGTTAATAAGAAATTTATAAGATAGATATTATTTTGCAAATAAAGACCCATAGGGAGAATCTGAGTAATAGCCACAACAATAAAGATCTGAGAAACAGACCCTGTTTCTCATGAATGACAGTGACAGAAAACTACAGGATTGCAGTCCTGCACCACACATCTATTTTTTCTCAGTTTTCTCTTTATCCTCATTTGTCACTTTATTTTCTACTGCTCTGAATACACAGCCCTCACTCACTTTTCCAGGAAAGCTCCCTACAAAAACATTCTACTCAGATGTACCCGGTGTTCTTTGGAGATTCTTTAGGGCTTACATATTCCATGCGCATGCTCAGACCTTAAAAGCAGCAGGGAGATGCTTCCAATCTCATCTTATTCCACATCTTTAAAACTGTTTCCTAATCTGTGAAATGGGATAATAATTCCAATTTACCATGGCATTGTTCTAAACAGTAAGTGCCATAGTGTAAGTGAAGGGCTTAACACATGCTGAGGCAAACATTCCCACACCCTACCTTATCTCCCATCTCAGATGTTTCTCCCTCACAGGAGCACAGGTGAGTTCTAGTTTTTCAGCAGCTACACAGACATCAAATATGACCTAGACTGCAGAAACCATCATATGCTAATCCCTAGGGGAGTAAACAAAGCCTGTTGCCCATGAGTTGGAATTGGGAGGGACATTTATTGTCTCTATCCTGTCTATTCCTGGACTTGTACCACCTTTTCTACCTACTCATATGGTAAAGCTGGGAAAGCTATACTGGTATTTATCAGCTGGGAGATAGCAGTGAAACAGCATTCCTGACAAGAACACAGATATGAGATTTTGGAGAAAATGTCATTTTACCCTATGGTGAATTTCAGTCTCTTACATTTTGCTATGTTCATTTTCTTGAGGGAAACTCCGTTTTCTAGCTAATATTAATATTTGGATTCTAAAGGAGAATTTTTTTCTAGTTTAAACTGATTTCAGTAGTTTTATCACTTTAAAATAACCAAGTTAACTTAAAGTTGCTCAAAGGTACTGATGTCTGATTCCAGTGCTCCTAGCCCAGAGGAAGGGGCTTCTGGGCCACCTTTCCAGTGCTCCCAGCCCAGAGGTAGGGCTTTCCGGGCTGCCATTCCACCACTCCCACCCCAGAGGAAGGGGCTTCCGGGCTGCCATTCCAGCAATCCCAGCCCAGAGGTAGGGCCTTCTGGGCCACCATTCCACTGCTCTCAGCTCAGAGGAGGTGAGCCACATGGATGCCAACAGCACTGACCCCCTCATTGAAATGAGAAGACACATAAACAAATCTCAAAACCAAACTTCCAGATCACCTACAGCAACCCTAAAGGTAAACGAGATGGAACACTCTGATACTCAACCACCTGGACTCCCTGAACTGGCAACAAAAGAGGATCTGGAAAAAATGAAATCAGAAATAATT